CTGAAATGCTGAAAACCAAATGGCCATAAAAATAACCATGACGAAAAGGGCGAATGGATTACTGCTGCAAACAGGGCCCTGCTGTGGATTACACCATCAATATCCTGCAATGTTTTAGAGACAGAGGCAGAAAGACCGAGGGGGAAGATTTAGGGGGGACTTATGTCATTGTTCAAATTCATTTCAGTTAGTCTCTGGCAGGAGATTCTTAATAACTCCGCTGGACAAGTCGATCAAGTCATGAAGTTATAAATGTGAGAGCCAAACAAGTTTGTTGATGAGGTTTCAATCACAGAGCTGCACTGTAGTCACCACTCTGTTGGCCGTTAAGCTAAGCTGCACAGCTTTGGATGAAAGATGGCTGCACAATCTATTCATTGCTTCTAGTCTGAATGACTAGAACACGGTTCAAAACTCAGTGAGGTATAATGATGTTGACCTCTCACTGTCATAAATATTCATTAGAAGACATTGCAGACGTCTAACGATGCTGAAGTTCAAGATTCAATGAAGTTCAACAAAAACCTAGGCTGGCTACAAATGAGGACGTTTAGGTCTGTAAAGAATAATGTCTCATTTAAAGCACATCGAGTGTTGGCCAAAGTGCTGAACAGAGGGACAATATAATCGAATAAAAGAATTAAATGATGAAAAACATTATCAAAAACATTGTAAGACATCCATATATATGGAGGCGGGGAGGCATAATTCTTGGCCTGCTGGGTGGTTTTTCAGGACTTGAAAACATTATTATTTGCAATCTAAAATTAGTGGATTACTGTGAATATATATGGAAGAATTTGTGCACCGCCATCCACCATACCTCCAATTCTTGGATGAGGACTTTTTGCTGTTTACTGCTAAATGTTTGCTGGATAATTGAAATCCTCTCAACACACAAATACACATGCATGTCACAGCTGGCATGTTTGTGGTGCAAACCTAAGCGCAGACACAGAATTTAGGTGAAACCAAAAGCGAACAGGGGTGAAAACTAAAACTAACACCTAAACTGGGAAAAACTGACGAACAAGACATGGACATGATTCTGAGCAAACTATGAACATGAACGTGACCTGAACACAATCATGAGATATCTGAAATCTGACGTGACAGAGGGAGGGAAACCGACACTGAACAGAGGAAGGACTTAAATACACAGAAGGGAATGAGCGAAGTGAAAACACCTGGGAAACACAGCTGACACAAATTAACATGACGCTGGAGGGGAAGTGAAACTAAACACACTGAACAAGGAAACACAAGACCTTACAAAATAAAGCAGGAAACAGCCTCGCTGTGAGGCTGCCAAGTTCACCTTGACCCCGGGACAGTCTTTACTACTGCAGGAAAAAGGTGTCTGAAGTGTGTGTAAGTCTCAGTCATTGTGTCCTTGGCCAAGACACTTCACCTGGCACCTACTGGTGTTGGCCGGAGGGGCCGATGGTGCGATATGACAGCCTCGCTTCTGTCAGTCTGTCCCAGGGCAGCTGTGGCTACAACTGTTGCTTGCCTTCACCAGTGTATGAATGGGTGGATGACTGGGTGTGTAAAGCTCCTTGGGGTCCCTAGGCGGGACTAGTAAAAAGCGCTATACAAATACAGGCCATTTACCATTTACCATAAGCAGTATGCTGTGGATATAAAGTCGCTAACCTTTTACTGCACTTTGCACATAGCTTTGTTATGTAACTAGCGATGCTAGCACAAATGGTAAATGCAAACAGGCTGTTTCTATGCACAAATACAACGATGTATTCAGGGGAAAAATATCTAATGTTGTGAGCTCGTTGTGCTTCTGAGAGCCACTGACCACTGTTAACTGTTAAAGCCAATTTTACAGCAGCATGCACGTGGCTGTGATGTAAATGTCCTTCGGCGTCTGCTGAACAATCCACCAAACTGAATCTACTAATCACTTTTAGGTGTGTGTCCGTGTGTGTGCTGGGAATGAAAGACAGGGCCTGTCAGTAATCCCATGTGATAATCTCCCTTGAACTTGGGTCAATAATGACAGCAGTGAAGGGTGGAGGGGATAGAAACACTAAACCAGCACAGGTCACAACTCGGCTCTAGCTTTGGAAGTTGTTATTTTGATGCCAAGTGATAACCTGCTGCAGAAGCATTAGCCGTCACTCGGAGGAACATGAGTGCAGCGTCTTTTCTTTGGTAAGTCATTGAAATTGTATCCACATAACTATGCAAAC